ATAATAATAATAATAATAATAATAATAATAATAATAATAATAATAATAATAAAAAAATGACTGTGACAAAAGAAAGCAAAGATAATAGTAATAGGCACCCTGGGTGCAATCCCAAAACTCTGGAACACCACTTGAAGACCATCGGCATTGACAAAATCAGCATCAGTCAATTGCAAAAGGCAACTTTACTTGGGACAGCGTATATCCTGCGACGATACCTTTAACACCATCAAACAACAACATCTGTCTATCCTAAGTCCTTGGGAAGGACTTGATAAGTGGATAAAAATGCCAAATCCAGTCTAAACATCTGGCTGACTTTGCGACCAACAATAATAATAATTTATTAAACTTGTATGCCGCCTGACTCTCAACAACTCACAACCATCAAAGAGATTACAATCAAATAAAACATAAAAGATAAAGATAAAAATGGCCAGCACAGTGAAGTGAAAGGTCTTAGTCTCCCTCACCAAATGCCTGGGTGAAGAGCCAGGTCTTCATGGCTCTTCTAAACAACAGCAGAGTGGGGACCATCCAGATCTCAGGGGGAACCTCCTTCAGAGGGCAGGCACAACTACAGAGAAGATGCGCTTCCGGGGTCCCAATAGATGACATTGTTTAATTGAAGGAACCCAGAGTGCATCAACTCTGCAGGATTGAATTGGCCAGACAGATGTTACGGGAGACAGGTGGTCCCTCAAGTAACCAAGCCCTATGCCATATATGCTTATTTATTTATTGCCAGAAATAAATAGTGACAGAATCTGTACAGACCCATGTTTGAAAATAATGGGTTTTGAGAGAAAATGATTACGGGACCAAGCTGTTGTGCCTTCGTTAGAAGCAATTCTGCAATAGATCTGTAGAACATTGTATGGTAGAAAGTGCAAACTTACAAGTCCTGGAATCCCTCAAATGAAGTAGCTGAAGTGAAGACATCAAGTAATCCAATGACCTGCAGCAGAGGTGGACACAGAAAGTGAGATTATGAAGAACACAGAGGACAAGAACATATCTACCTAACATGATAAAAACATTCTGCTTTACCAACCAGAAGCCAAGCCATATTTCACTGGCAACCTGGAAGAGGGAGAAGTCTTATATTTTGTGGTGTTCTCACAGGAAGCCCCACGACCAGGGAATAAATCCAGGGATAGTCATATGGAATGTATCTTTCAAATTCTGGGTGCATCAACATTTTCTAAAATAATCAGAACATGCTGCACAACAACAGACAACACTTTATTGAAGCTGAGAAAATAGGAGTTATTCATGATACTAGAAAACTGCCAGCATATCTATTTGCATATGTTTCATTCTTGTCAGAATGCAGCCTGGAGTCCCATTCCCAACCGACGACCGAACTCAGAAAAGAAAGACATTCCCATTAACAGAGCACCATGCAAAATGATGATGCAATCTTTCTGTCTAGTTCCAGTAGAGAACAGGAGATTCCAATACACTAGGCTGATGTCAAGAAGATAGAATGTAACAGGGATGTGTCATGCCTCTCTTTCTTGCCTTAATTATGTGCACGGGACTTGCTTACATAAAATATATCAGAGAGAAGCAGGAGAAAAGGTTCCAGGAATGGAATTTCTTAGATGCCATTTACTGCCAGTTCTTGCTACCTTACACTTGCCCTACAGGAGGTTAGCAATCGATAACACTTTTGCTGTGCTAGCAGGTACAGAGTTTAGTTAAATTTTCACAAAAGTATAGCTTAATGAATGTATAGTATGAACGGACCAGATTTCTACCCAAACCACAATTCAGGCAATAGCATTTCAACCTGAAGTACAGAACTTAAGCGGCTGATTTCTCAGTGCCTGTGGCAGGCAGTAACTGCAATGTCAGCAGGATTGCCCAGCTTCTGTATAGTAAGTCCACTAGTGCTAGAAAATTGGGGAGGAGGGATAGAAGAAGGGGGCTTAAGAAGAAGCAAGTATCACTATCAGGACCTTAGGGACACATCAGCAGAGGCTGAAGCAGGCTTGTCTACCAGCCCTATTTTTACACACTAGAGCTGCTTAGGAGTATTTGAATTATTGATAACATATCGTAGATAATTACATTTTGCCACGTATAATTTTTCCAACCAATCATGTGGCTCTTAAATCTGTGTATAAAAAGCTGAAACACAACCATCAGCAGGCAGAACAGGGCCTTCCGCAATGTGAAAGGCATGAAAAGTTATACCTGTTATTGAAAATAAGTATTACAAACATATCTCTTTTTTCATCTGCTAGACAGAATGTTTACTACATCTAATTTTAGTCTCAGATGTGTTGGGGCTACAGCTTCCAGAATTCCAGTGCATCCAATGTATCTCAAACTCAGTCAGGTGGGAGGAGGCAATATTAGAACTTGGCTGGCTGGTTTTTGCAAGTACTTATGGTTGACTGATAGATCAAACTTAGTATGACAGCTATTTATAATTTCTGGGTCAATATAGCAATCTGAATTAATGAGATGTATCAATCAGTTGCAAGGATGAATCAGTCATTTCTTAGAAGCTGTTACTGCAAGAAAGACGATAGTCTGGATATGCACATTTTGCTATTTAATTAGATTTTTGTCTTGACTACCAACTTGGGTGAAAATAGAAATTCTGATATTAAACTAAATTTCAGCAATATCTTCCATTCAGGTAATTTGTGAAAGACACAGAGAACTGTTTGGGTACAAGCAAACATACACAGAGAAGTAGTTACTCACATTTTCATGCTGCATGTGCTTCAACAGTGTGAGTTCCCGATATGCTCGCTTGGCAAAAATCTCAGATTGGAATGGGCGACAGAGCTTCTTGATAGCCACTTTGTCTCCTGTTTTCTTATCTATTGCTGAACTGTGGCAAATAAGAGAAAAATATTCAGAAGGAAATTACATGGGAATACTATGCTAGTCAGTGAAATCCTTTTTTTAAAATAGTAATTTTATTAAAAATTACAACTACAATGATAAAAAATAATACAAGCTAAAAAAAAAGAAAAAGGAAAAGGAAAAAATAGAAGGTACAAAAAAGAAAAATAGAAAAGAAAAGA